GATGCAGCCCAGGATACGATTGGCCTTCTGGGCTGCGAGCGCACATTGCTGGCTCATGTCCAGCTTTTCATCCACCAGGACCCCAAGTCCTTCTCGGCAGGGCTGCTCTCCATCCCTTCATCCCCCAGCCTGTATTGATCCCAGGGGTTGCCCCAACCCAGGTGCAGGACCTTGCACTTGGCCTTGTTGAACCTCATGAGGTTCACACGGGCCCACTTCTCCAGCTTGTCCAGGTCCCTCTGGATGGCATCCCATCCCTCTGGCGTGTCGACCGCACCACTCAGCTTGGTGTCATCTGCAAACTTGCTGAGGGTGCCCTCGATCCCACTGTCTATGGCATTGATGAAGATATTAAATAGTACCGGTCCCAATACGGACCCCCTGCAGGACGCCACTCATCACCGATCTCCATCTGGACATTGAGCCGTTGACCACTACCCTCTGGATGTGACCATCTGACCAATTCCTCACCCACCGGCCAGTTCACCCATCAAATCCATCCCTCTCCAGTTTAGAGAGAAGGATGTTTCCTTCAGGGACCTTTTTCGTTTAAAGTCAAGTTTGCCATTACAGAATTTTGCTTTTTTGAGTTACCTCTCTTGGGGAAGAAAAATGACCAAAACAAAACCACACACACAAAAAAATCCCCAAACCCCAAAATTAATTAAACAGGAAAATAAAAAGAAATGCACATTGGGAAAAAAAAATATCTTTGCCAAACCACATGATATCTGAACAGGTATTTTGGACATTTCCAAATTTTAAAATTAAAATATACATTTTTGGGTAATGACCACACAATGAAAACCAAGGGAATAGTCTTCAGTTATGGAAGAGATTCTGAAACAGCAGTTAAGAGTGCAGCTCTTGCAGAGTTAACCATTATGAGCTAAATTAGAAGTTAGATGAATCATTTTCCAGCCATATAAATCATTGAAGTTTGTTAAATTGTTGTATCCATAACTGAGGTAAGCCAACCATTGAATGAATTATACAATGTGTTATTTTCCTACGGATGTTATTCCCATAGTTTTTACTGTTGTTGAAAGTACATTTGTGTTTTTTTGCAAATACTTCTAAAATGATGAATAATCTTTACTTAGACTAAAAATACTTGCCAGCTATTATCGTATATGAAATCTGACAGCAGTTAAAGTGTCGGTATCTGAACTTATTTGACAGCTTCTTTGAACAACTTTTACTAGGTATTCTTTATAGGACTAAATATTTTTAGATTTGTGCAATTTGTTCTATAAGTAAGTCATGTTAAAGGGAAAGCAAAAGTGTCCTAGATATTAGATAACCAGTCTACTGAATAGCAATAGCTTTTCTTGCAATCGCTTTTCATTAGAAGCCGAAGATCACGATCAAACTTTCATTGCATATTCATGCAAGGACAGATTTTGAATCCTGTGGAGCAAATCAAGCTCAGTAGAAATTTTAGGTGCTCCAGTGGAACAAGACACCAGTATTTCCCATGCTTGCAATTTTTCCATTACAAATGCATTTTATTTGCAAAAAGTTGGCACTGATTGTAGGCAGAGCAGGCCAGATCTTCACCTACCTACACAGGCAGTGATACATAAGTGATGCTAGTTTATCATGGCTGCAGATCTGATCTGGAGGTCTCTGCTCAGCACTGTCCTGTATTTTGTGCAAACCAGCACCAGGGAGCCGTATGGAGTTACCACAAGGCACCACTTTGGCCTTGGTTCGAAGAGACCTGCAGGAAGCAGTGACCTGGCCCAAGGGACCTGCTTTTCCGCTGGTTCTAGCACAACTTCCATGCAGGATTTCCAAACATAGCAGCTTTTTGTCCTGAATGTCTGTTTGGTGAGTTTAGTGTATCAGATTTGCAAAGTCTGTGAATAATTGGCCCTCAAATTACGAATGCAGCAGGAGAGCTTGATTTTTAAATACTAGGAGGTAGGCAATCAGGTGAGGAGCACAGATACAACTATACTGGTGTGGCATACCACAGCGCAGAGTATGTGCAGCATTTAAAGTTGAAATTAAGCACTGTTAAGGCAGAGAACCTATCTGAAGATGTAGGACAGGGAAGCAGCTCAGTACTCCCATCCATCCAGGGGTGGCTGGCAAAGGAAGGTAAGTTAGCGCTGGGCAGCTTTCATTCCCGGCATTTGTACTGGACCCGGAATGGTGCCATGGGTTGCTGTGTCCCCACCAAATGTAAAGGGCTCTGCAAAAAGAAGAAAATCGGTAGAAACATTTAAGTTACCTCAGTTAATGGAATTATCACTGTGCTTTAATATTAAGATATAAGCATATTCTTGGAGCTTTGGCCTTAGAGAACCAAGACCAAATACTGAGAGTATTTCTTGGCTTTGCTCAAGCCATTGAGTAGGGCCTTCATGATTACTTTTTATTCCACTCACTCTGATAGAGGATGACACATGAGATCTTAAGAAACTCTAATGGTTTTGAATATCTTCACCAGCATAATTGCTTGTGGGTGCAGACCAAAGTTACAATAAACTCCAGTGAGAGCTGGCGTGGCAACACACCATCAGTCAGGAAGAGGCAACCTTTCTCCATATTCTGGGTGGACTTTCTACCATTACTTGAGATCAATATCTCATGTTCTTCATGGAGAGCAGAGGCATTAAGTTCTCTTGGCTTCCAACTTCTAGCCTAAAGGGCAATCATACAAAGCCCATGCCACTCTAAACTTCTCCCTCTTCTCCTTGGCAGTTTAGCTATAGAATCATAGAATCATTAAGGTTGGAAAAGACCTCTAAAATCATCGACTCCAACCGTTGACCCAACACCACCATGCCCACTAAACCATGTCCCTAAGTGCCACATCTACACGTCTTTTAAATACTTCCAGGGATGGTGACTCAACCACT